AAGTGGGCGGACATTGCCAGTCACCTTGGCTGCAAGGCAAAGAGAAATCAAAGAGAACAGCCCTAGAACCGAACCGTCGGAAGCCTAATTAAGTAAGGCGCTTCACCCTTCAACCCTATAATCTGCAACCCAGAACCCTGAACGGCACACAATCTACGCACACACGCACACCCACGAACAAAACCCCAAACCCTAAACCCCCCAAAGCCTCAGCCTCAACCCTGACACCGCAGCCTTTTCCATGAACCCTACAATCTAACCAACGCAGGTGCACGCACAGAAAACCCGGCAACCTCCACCCCAAAGCTAAAACCCAAAGCCAAAGCCCTGAAAACCACAGACCCAAAATCCTAAGCCTCAGCGCTCGGAGCTAAACCCTGAAGTCCCTAAACCCTTTACAGGTAGGGTTTAGGGTTTAGGCTTTAGGGTTTAGGGTTGGTGGGTCCCGAGAGGTCACGGAAGAGGATGTTCCACCGACGCCCCCTGGGCCGCATTAAAAAAACAGCGACAGGGATTGTTTCGGGCTTTGTCGTGCCGTATACGGCTCATTAGGTTCAGGGTTAGGGCTTGGGATCTTGTTTCAGGGTTTCTTTCTTGTTGTTTTGGCACCCTACGGCGGGGGCGGGGTTCTAAAGTGTGGTTGGGTCAGATGCTTTGGTGGCCCCAACGCGGGAACTCTAGATCTTAAAGCCCAGACCCTGCACATTCTTGCATCCGAGTACACGGGCATAGTGTAGAGTCTAGGGTTTAGGGTTCAGGGTTTAGGGTTTAGGGTAGACTATATATTGACGAGTAGTTTTTGGGTGGCGTAATAGCCATTGCTATTCCTCATGGCTCCTCAACTTCAAGATCGGGGCCAGAATGATTACCCGTACTGTTCGCTAGGATTCCTTATAAGAGCTCCCTAAAGTCTAAACCCTAAACCCCTAAACCCCTAAACCCTCAATCCCTAAACCCAAAAAACCCTAGACCCTAAACCCTAAACCCTTAGAGCCATACTTGAAGAAAGCCCCAGAGGCATGCGAACTATGCATCGCACATACACCCAGGAGGCCTAGAGCCTCCTAACCAGCCACTTCTCTCTCAAGAATCTAAGGTAGAACCCATGGGCCCCTAGTATGGGCCCTTAACCCTGGGACCCTAATATACCTACTATATACCCTACATATACCCTTAAGGGACCCTAGAATCCCCTAAGGGCCCATGTTAGGGGCCCATGGGTTCAACTTAAGAAAGAAACCTGCCACCCTGAACCCGCAAAGCCGTGTAAACCCTAAAGCCCTAAGACCTGAACCCTGAGCCCACAACCTAAAATGCTAGAGCCCTTGTGCCCTGAACTTAGGTTTCAGGTTTAGGGTTTAGGGATATAGAACGCCTGCTGCTGAGACTTCGCGACTTCTTTCGTGAAATGCGCTCCGGGCAATTGTCTGCCCAGAAAGGTGCACAGTCGCTGGACGGATCTGTGGCCCTGAAACATCTGGTGCACCTCTCGAGACAATGACCAAAGAGTCTGAGCGGACATGGACAGGGGAGACCCCTCCTGTGTATGCAGGCACTTACGGTGCCTGACCTGCAAACGGACCCTGTCCACCAAGCTACGGAACGTGACCTGAGTTGAGTGCGAGCAGACCTGAGTCGAGTGAATGAGTGAACCCTGGGAATAGACAGGTAGCATCTCTGCCCTGGTAAGCCGATTTCAGTTTTGGTGTGGGGAGCTGTTGGTGGTTGGGGGGGCTAGGGCAGACTTGGACAGACCGTAGTTAGTGAGCCTCTATTGCATACTGTGTAGGGCCCTGCGCCATGGTCCTGTTCCCCTTGTAAATTCGTAATTCGCTGAGTTTTTGACTGTTTGAGTGCACACTACTGAGAAAGTTAGGAAGTCTCTAATTGATGATAACGCCAGCTGCTGTGAAATGACGTTTTGAAGCCGTATTTTTGGTGGGGACTCGAAGCAGCTGGTGGTGAAGCTGGGGTGAATGTTTGGCTGAAAAGCCTTGACGTTCGCACCTCCCTAACTAGGAGTGCTAGTGATTTGATGGAAGCCAAACTCTTCCTGGACATGGTGATCTAGATTTTTGGTCTCTGAAACCAGAGGCGGGTGGAGGCTTTGCGAGGACTGGTTTTTGGTGTTTACTTTGGCTTGTTGGTGATGTTGCAGAGCCTCGACTTGCCCAATNNCCCTGCAGTGCTGTCGTCGACGTGCCAAGTGGGTGACAAAAACTACTACTATACTACTACTAGCAGAACTAGTACCGCTACTGATGCCGCTACCACTACTACGGCAACATCACGATACTACCAGTACTATTTCTACAGCACCACTTGTTTTTTTTTTTACTGCCGTCACTAGCTTCTTTTGCTTCTACGACAATGAAGATGTCTGCGACTATGACCATGGTATCCTTGCTCTTGCTGTGCGGTTGCTCGTACTCTTACTCGTGCCTTGACACTTATCAGTACTACTGGTATGACTGTGGGCTGTTACTTTTACCTGTTACTTCTACTACTAATGCCACACCACCGCCGCCACCGCAACCACCACCACCGCCGCCGCCGCCACCACCACCACCGCCAAGACCAGCACCACTACCACGGCCGCATCAGCCACTCCGCTGTCGCCCGGCGATGGTCGCGATGAGCAGCAATGACAGCGGCAAGAACTGGTAGCTAGTCGCAGCATCAGAAGAACAAGGGCAAAACGGTGTTCGAGGTCAGCCTCATGTGTGCAATAGCACAACTCACGCCATTATCGTCATCGCCCTCCATATCAACGACAGAGTCTGTATACCTCAAACCCCGAGCCCTGAACCTGGCACGGTGAGCACCAAACCCCATCACCACGGGTGCCTTGCTCCCCCACACTTGCACCCTGACTGAACACTGCACCCCTAGACCCCAGACCCTGAACCCCAAAATCTCATCTCTGAGCCCCCAACCCCTAACCCCTACACGCTGGACTCTACCCCCCGTTCCATATTCTGCACAAAACCTACCTAAACCCCAAATCGCAAAACCTTAAACCCTAAACCCCTAAACCCTACACCCCTACACCCCTAAACCCTACCTTAAACCCAAAACTTTAGACCCCTAAACCCAAAACCCTAAGCCCCAAAAGCCCCAAAACCCCAAAACCCCAAAACCCCTAAACCCCAAACCCCTAAACCCCTAAGCCCCCCAAAAGCAGAGAGCCCTGCATCCCAAGAGTCACCGCGGAGCTCAGAGGAGCGAAGTTGGCCCTCTGAGGCGAACCCCGAGGCGGGGGGCCTCAAAGAGCCACGGTTTAGGGTTTAGGGTTTAGGGTTTAGGGTTTAGGATCTTTTAGGACGATGCCAACCGGTTTTGGGAGTTTTTTGGGATGGTTTTTAGGGTTTTTGGATTTGTTGTTCGGTTTTTAGGGTTTTTAGGGCTTCTTGGGTTTAGGGTTTTTAGGGTGTTAGGGCTTTTAGGGTTTAGGGTTTTTAGGGTATCGGCGGATGCTGGCATTGGCTCCACAGCACGGACTTTCAGGGTTTGAGGGTTTGAGAGAGCAGTTGCGATGCTGTTCTGAGAGTAGAAGGGCGAAGCCCGCGAAGGAGGGTTTAGGGATGTTTCGGTTTCAGGGTTTTTTTAAGGTAAGTTATGGCTCCAGGGATGCGGGTGTCCCGACTATTCTACATGATTCAAGCTACGCAACCGAAATGACGGCGATCCTACTCTCCCCCCGTTGGGGCCCGAAGCCCTGAGAAACAAATCCTAAACGCCCCAAGCCCAGGAAAAGCAAATCCTAAATGCCCTGAACCCTGGAAAAACAAATCCTAAATGCCCTAAACCCTGAAAAGCATATCCTAAATGCCCGAATCCCTGGAAAAACAAATCCTAATGCCCTAAACCCTGGAAAAGCAAATCCTACATGCCCTAAAACCCTGGAAAACACATCCTAAATGCCTTTAAACCATGGAAAAATTTGCCATGCCTGCATTTGCGAGTGTGTGAGTCGAAACCCTGGCAAAACAAATCCTAAATGCCCTAAACCCTGGAAAAACAAATCCTAAATGCCCTAAACCCTTGCGTACATGCCCTAAACCCTGAGAAACACAAGTCCTAAATGCCCCCAGAGCCCTGACACCCTCAGCCCTAAAAGCCTTCAGCTCTAAAGAACCCTCCCTGATGACCCCTAGACCCTAAACCCTAAACCCTAAACCCCCTAGCAGCCCTTCGTTGCGTGCTAAATTCCCCCCAGGCCCCGAGTAAACCGTGGGTCCCCCTGAAGGCCCTTACTGGGCTCTTGTTAAGGGAACTGAACTTAGGGTTTTAGGGTTTAGGGTTTAGGGTTTAGGGTTTAGGGTTAAGGGAACTGAACTTAAGCTACCATAATAGAAGGATCTATAGTAAATAACAGCGTTTCTTCGTTGTTAAGGAACTTAACTTAAGTTACCATAGTAGGGATCTATAATAGATAACAGAGTTTTCTTGTTCTGGTAGCTTAAACTACACCCCTTAGCAAGAACCCGGCGTAACAAAAGCAGCAGCCAGCCTTCCAGGTGCTTTGGCAACCCGAGAGGCCTCTTGGTCAGAGCACTTAATCATAAGAAGGGGCCTTAATTAGAATAGGGTTTGGGGGTATATGATACTGTAACTAGAGTAAGGAACCCCCCAAAAATAGTTGAGAAAAGGGTTCGGGGGGGGGGGGGTATATTGTACTATGATTATAGTAAGGAACCCCCGAAATCCCTATTCTAATTCTTAAGGCCCCTACATTATGGAGCCTTCAGATCAGAGCTTTCCTGGTGGGTTTCGATACAGTTCCTGTTTCTCGTCCCAAAGGGTCCAAAAAAGTACATATATAGTAGAATGTAGGGTTTCTATATTAGGAATCCTTATTATGATTTGGGAAAGTATCCCCCCTAGCAGTACCTTGGACCCTTTGGGCGTTACCTATCTTTGATTTCATGATCCTTACCATACAGTTGCCCAAAGCCCTAGACCCTCAACTTGGTCAGCCAAGCAGGGGAGCCAACTTGAAGACTAGATGCGCGGCTTCGGGTCTGGGCTTCACTATTTGGGGCCAGGGTTAGGGATTTGAGGTGAGGGTTTAGGGGTTTTTGGGTTTGGGGGCTTCACTATTTGGGGCCAGGGTTAGGGATTTGGGGTGAGGGTTTAGGGGTTTTGGGGTTTGGGGGCTTCACTATTTGGGGCAAGGGTTAGGGATTTGGGGTGAGGGTTTATGGGTTTTTGGGTTTAGGCTGCAAACTTGAGTGTCGGCTGCCATTCCCGCTACGTTGCTTTTTTTCTCTCGATCGTTGCGTTGGGGAAGGGGGGGTGTTTGTTTGTGTGCACAAGATGGCTAGATGTTGCGAAAGACAGCACGCAAGGTTCTTCGACAGCATGGTCGTGAAGCTGTCTCTGCATTTGCTGGCTGTGGTGATGGATATCAACACAATTTTCACCATGGCGTCTTCGCAGAGATACATTTTGAGCCTTCTGCTCACGACGATCGTCACGCAGGTCTTTGTCAAAGAAGCTTGGCAGCTTGCTCGGAGCATTTTCTTATTAGAACTTTCCTGAACTCCAAGCCTAAGCTTAAATCCCCCAGGCGCCTAGTTATGGCTTAATTTAATTGAAACCACAAATGATTAGCCAACACAGCCCTGCAGCCTCGACATGATACCCTGGCACTTCCTGGGCTCTTCTGAAGGAACTTAATTTACAAGAGTCTATAGTAAATCGTATGATTTCCATATTGTTATTGTAGCTTCAAAGAGTCTGTAGTAAATAGTAGGATTTCCATAATATTATGGTAACTCAAACTAAGTTCCTTATCAAGAACTCCGACTCAGGAGATACTCTATGGAAGCCCCATGAAGCTCAGCCACGCCGTTCGCCAAAGTGCACAGCGTGGCATACTCCGCGAGGAGCCGGCAGTGATTGTCAAGAACGAAGAGCCAAACACACCCAACACCCGACAACATACGAAAGCCTAACACTTGGTAAGACTACTCGTTTCTAGCTCCGACTTGCTGCTTCGACCAGCCGCTATTCTAACTACTTAGGCCCCATGGTATGGGTTCAAGGCAAATGCGAGTGTGGTAGTTCGCCGCACCTCGTTCTAGCAGTGGGTATTTTGGGTGAAGACTGATTTGACTGTTCGTATTGCCTGTGATGAAGATTAGGAGGCAATGTCGGGGTTACTGGATTCTCCAGCAATTGCCAGGGAAACAGGCAGGACTTTCTGCCCTAAACCCTAAACCCTGACCCCTAACAACCGCGATCAAACCCCAAACCTGAATCCAAAGCCGTCTAAACCGTGCTGCCCTCCGATAGGATGAAGCTTGAATAACTGATAATAGTATTCGTTGGCGTTCCCTAATGTATCGCTTAACATACAGCACCCCGGAAAAAGGTATGGAGTACTCAGGCCCCGACATTAAGCCAGGTGCATGATTTTGAACCTCGATTCCAATATTACATGGACCTGAATGACTTGGATTCTTTAATATACTTGTAGCAATCTAGCATAATCAAACAAGGAGCCCAACCCCCGTCCTAATTTTCAAGTTTTTCATCTTGGGCCAGGATGGTGCAGCACTCGTTTGCGCCTATCAAATGATAGGGCCATGTCTGTGCACCACAATAAAAACTGCAGCCATTAAACCAAGAAGACCTGATAAGATCCCACCCTACCCGAATTATTGAGGCCTCCATACGAAGGTTTTTCAGTTTTTCGCATATTTCCGAATGCCGCTTCGTCCCTCAGGACTTGTTGAAGCTCATGGAGGAGAAATGACTTTGGGGTTCGGGTTTGAGGCAGGTGGAGTTTAGGGTTTGAAGGTTTAAGGGTTTTGGGATTCAGGGCTTAGTGCATTGCAGTCCCTGCTCAAAAAGAAAGGGTTTTGGGCTGAGGGGTGAGGATTTAGGGCTTCAGGGTTTCACGTTGAGGGCTGGGGGTTTGGGGTTTAGCGGTTACTGCATTACCGGGGGCTTCTGCACACGGTTTCGACCAGTTTGGGATAAGTGTAGGGTCTCCAGATGATGCAGGCACTTCGCGCTACCCCTAGTGATCCATTTCCGCATAGAGGTCTGATTCCCTAAACCCTCAGCCCTGCCTCAGCCCCGAAGTTTAGTACATTTTTGGCCGCCACATGTTCTATCCTTGGTACAGCTGGATCCATCGAAGAACATGTTATCCTTTTAATTTAGACTTGGGGGTCTGAGTATATGCCCTATAAGCCTCTTGTGGAGAGCCGGAGGACAAGGCCAGCATCAGTGTGCTCAGCTTGGTTTTGACGACTTACAGCTTCTACTTCTGCGTCCAGGCGCCTGGTCCCAAACCGGTGAAACCAGGAAATCCCACATGCTATCCTCAAAGGACCAAGTGCCGCATAATCCTGTGAACCCCAACTACTGATCTAAACCCTAAACCGTAAACCCTAAACCCTAAGCCCCAAAACCCTAAACCACGATCCCAAACCTCCCATAATTCGTAAAGCCTTCCCACACGCATCCTCACCCTGAAGTTTGAAGCCAAAGCGATTTCAAGGCGTCAGCTTAAAAACCACATGCCTGGCTTAGGGTTTCGGGTTTAGGGGCAACGTGCTAAGTTTCGAAAACCCCACAACTCCAATCTGACCTGCAATTTATCCAAGTCTCAAAATCCTAGGTGGCACTTTGGGAAACTTGGCCGTTCCTTTTGTGGTCCTGTAGAGGTACCTATTCATAAATTCTTTTAGGGGCCCCGACACTATCATTCAGAATTGAAGCCCCTACACCCTAAACTCTAAACCCTAAACCCTAAACCCTATACCCTAAACCCTAAACCCTAAACTGTCTAGACTCTGAACATTGTGAAGGCCCGAAGCGCAAAGCCTAGGCTCCGAAACCTCCTGCGACTGGAAGCCACCGACAAGTTGTCTTGGTTAAATATAGCAGCCTGAATGATTACTTATGAAAACTGTTAGGGCTCCTTATCATAGATATACTACAAAGGAGCCCAAAACCCTATTCTAATTTATTAAGGCCCCTATAGTAGGGAGCTTTAGGGTTGAAGCTGGACAGGATCACTAAGGGTCCATGTGCCCAAGTAGTGATAGTACGTACTCTGCCCCTAATGTGGTCCCTATTTGGGCACCTTGGGCCCAAAGTATATGCTGTTTGGGTACATGGACCCTTTGGGTTATACAGTTGGGAAGGAAACTGTGCACCGAGGCGCCTTTTCAAGCAATGGCTCTGCTGTTCAGCACCTCGGATTCAGGTTTGCCAGTTTCCTGGGGTTTAGGGTATCAGGATTTAGGGTTTAGGGGGCCGCGAAGTGGCCGGTCTCGCATCTCAGACATGAGTACTGTCTTGTGGGTCAAGCTGGGCAGTAAGGGCAGCAGCAGAGTCCCTTGTGAAAAAAGGGGGCCGACTTCCCAAGCCCGGATGCAAAAAGGGTTTAGGGTATTAGGGTTTAGGGTTTAGGGTGTTGCGCATGATAAGGTAGACGTGGGTAACAGCAATACACCCCAAGAAGAGAACAGTCCTCAATTAGAGAATAGTGTAGGCCGCCGATCAACTAGAGCCTTGTAGCTGGGATCCTGCCTCTATGGTCTCAAGGAAGAGCCCTGAACCCTAAGCCCTATGAACCCCAAACCATTAAGCAAAAACCTAATCCGTACAATTTATCAGTCAGGCCTTTCGAACCTGCTTTTGGGCCACTCCTGCCCTAAAACTCACTTCACTGCTGAGGTCCAGAGGTCCAGTTTAGGGTTTAGGGGTTTAGGGTTTAGAGTGTAAGGGTTTAGGGTTTAGGGTTTTACCCTATTTCCCGAGGCATTGTTCTCAACATGTATGCGGTCACGGGCTTCATCTTCGAGCAGATCGACTTAGACCTGGCGCGAGCCGGTGAAGACAGCCTGCCCCGAACAGGGCGTGCGTTGATTTCATTGTAAGGCTGAAGAATTGCGATTGCGCATGTCGGATTTAGTATGGACGCTGTTGAGGTGTACAGGGCTAGGGACCTTTCTAATTCCTGTGAATACGATTCCCTGATGAACTACAGGCATTGCCAAACTTTAATTGGCCCATGCTTGTTGTTGGGTAGTTCTCTAAATTAGGGTCCCTTTTTAGGTCCCCAGTATAGTACGGCACCCTTATAAAAGGGACCCCAAAAGGGACCCTCATTTAGAGAACTACCCTGTTTCTGTCATGATGACCAGGCTTTGCCTGTTCAGTTTAAACTACCCTAAGGGTCCATATATACTACCNNGTCCCCAAAACCCTAATATGAATGGTCTTTTGGGACTTAATTCCATAATGGTAGTATATATGGACCCTCTGGGCTAAGACCATTTGCAGCTGCCAGACGTCTCAGTCCAGGAGGCAGAGACAGAGCAGGGGCTTTGAGTAATGTAGGGGCCTTCATACTTAGAATAGGCTATAATCATAATAAGGACCCCCCAAAAGAATAGTATTGGTAGTTATCTGGGAGTTTCCGAAAATTAGGGGTACCTTATTTTGGGGTCCTTATAATAAGGATCTTATTATTTGGGGTAATATATTAGGGTCCCCTATTTTCGGAAACCCCCATCTAGGCTCCTATAGTAGGCTTGGCCGTCCGGGATTTCTTTGGAGTTGAGAACTGTCAGGCACCACCTCACGTCCTGTGAAGGGTAAACTAAGTAGGCCCCACCGAGCCCTTGTGTGAGCCTCGTAGTGTATTGTTTAGGGTTTAGGTTTCTGCTGGGCTTCTGGGTGACCCATTTCTACGCTTCTCCGCTTCTCCACTCCAACCGTGGCAACTTGGACGGCCAAGAGATAGCGAGTAGTTAGATCCTCAGAGACTCCGAGCATCCGCACTTCAAGGCTTAATTTCCTCTGCCTGAATACGGATCCCTACTTTGCATTTGCTGAGGAATTTTGCTGTACTAGTAGACGTGTGGAGTCTTCGAGTCTATAGCTGGCTTCAACGAAGTTGAGCCATATGACTGGAGCAAGTTTGAATCCTCTTGGAGCGAAAAGCTGCTCAGCCTTGGTGTGGTCTTCGGCCTTGCCAGATACCGATGTCGGTTGGCTTCTTAACCACAGTTGCGATGAGGAACCTAAAACCCTAAACCCTTGGTTTTTTGGGTTTATAGTAGAAGCCCAAAAGTTGGAAACCCAATAGCTTCAATCCTGAAGAGTGATGTATAGGGAATCCGAGCACTATTTGTCCCTACTCCGGTTTCCAACTTTGTGGGGTTTCCTATGGAGTGTAGAGCCCTGGTGCACAGAAGGCAACTTTTTTCACAAGGGGCAGCATCATGCAATTCGGGGTTCAACGGCCCTCGAATGCAGGAGTATTGAGCAGGGCTCTGCATACTGAGGTTAGTATAGGGGCCTTAATAATTAGAGTAGGGTCTTGGGCATCTTATATTATAACTACAATAAGGAAGCCCCCAAACCCTATTCCAATTATTACGGCCCCTATACTAAGTATCATAGCTTCCTGGCTTACGGCTCAAGGGAGTCGAGCCTTTGATGACACGCGATTGTGAGTAGTTTGTCGAGGGTTCTGGGGTATAGAGTATCATGCGACAGTTATGTAGTTATGTACAGGAATCCACAGGAGTACTGCTTTGTGTAATTCGTCAACCCCCTAGAGCAACCCTAAACCCAACACCGGAGCAGCCCTAAGCTCTGCAGTACTTTCTTGGTGCAAGGGCTGTCTCTGAGGCCCAGGCCCTGAGTTGTAGTAACTTGTCTTCGATATACGACAGTAAGCTATTCGCTTATCCGAAGCCCCTTATCGTTCCTCTAGTTGTATGCATAGTCTGCGACACTCCTAACATCATCAAGCCTGGCCTAACCACAAAAGACCCCCTGAACCCTGAAGCGAAAACCCTAACCTTGAGACACCGCTACGCCAGGTCTTGGGCATGGGCTTTTAAGTGATCCGATCCACCGAGTATTAGCTTCCGCGATTTAATACATGTTGTCAGGAGGGCACGCTTGCTGTTACCCCTAAACCCTAAACCCTAAACCCTAAAACCTAACCCTAAACCCTAAAACCTGACCCTAAACCCTAAACCTTAAAACCTGACCCTAAACCCTAAACCTTAAAACCTGACCCTAAACCCTAAACCCTAAAACCTGACCCTAAACCCTAAACCTTAAACCGGCTTTAAAACTAAAAGCCAGGCCTCAGGAGCCTACTGGTTCTTTCAGAAGCACTAGTCACTGGTCGCAAGTGGTAATACTGGGGCGAAGAGCAAGTTTGGGTTTAGGGTTTAGGGGTTTAGGGTTTAGGGTTTAGGGAGCAGAAGTTTTTTGGGCTTCTGAGAAAACTAGTTCAACTGGCAGTGCTCGTACCACCCGGGCGAGCAGCAAGCAGCACTGAGCAGCAATCGTGGCCACCTGCAGCTCCACTAGCAGGACCATAACTTACATTACCCTATCTCTTGCAGCCCCGTCAGCCTGCGCACGCTATATTGAATAACATGTCGTTTATCGGATCCCCGTGCCCCAAGCCCTACACTACACCCCAAACCGAAGATTGCAGGTCTAGGGCTTTTAGGGTTTAGGGTTTGCCTCGGTTCCTGGCATATGCATAGCCCAGGTGTAAAAAGGGGCATCCAGTTGTAGCAGCCCTGGCCTAATACCCTGAAATCCTAGAAGAGCGACTTTGCCGAAGCCACGTGGCCCAGCACGCTCTATCTCAGGCCTTCCCTAGCCTTCTGGGCCCACCCAACGCTCTACGTCCATGCACATACTCAGGCCTGTTTACTGATTTCATGGGGATTTGTCGTTATCAGGCGGTACCATGTTGTCTTTTTCCTGAAGCTGCCTCTTTGGGTTTGGGAAAGGTCAGTCTGTAAGACTGAGAAACCGTGCAAGCCCCTGAGCCTTTGTTGTTGGATAGCAGGGATCCCCTAAATTAGGAATCTGTGCCACAAACCGGCCTTGATGTAAGATTACGGGTTTACGGGATTCAGATGTGGCATTGGGAAAGGTAACGCGTGAAGTCTCAAGGGTGTAGTGCATGTCTACATCAAGCGGCGTCCTGCTGTAAGGTGCTTGGAGCACCGCAAGTGGTCACAGAGTCGTTAGGCACCCAGCCCCTCTTACGCCCGACAGACCCCTGAAACCCGGAATCCTTCAGCCCTCAACGTCACACAGAAGCTTAAATGATTACCAATATCATTCCCTAGGGTTCCTTATTATACTTATACTACAAGACACAAAACCCTACTCAAATTATTAAGGCGCATGTATATATATATGTATATATATATATATTAGTCCTCTAAGGATCCTTATGGTGCCTGGAAGATGTTGTGTAGAAGCTCACCTCTGCAATGGTCTACCATTGGCCGTAGACTAAACGAGCCGCTCGCAGAGGTTCGATTGGGTTTAGGGTCTTCGACCTAGTTTGTAGGATGGTTCTAGGTTGAAGGCGGAGGAGTTAGCGCTTAGGTTTATAAGCTTAGGGCGTAGGGTTTGGAGCCTCAGCCCACAACCGGTGCCCCCCAAGCCCGGAATAAGGCCATCTCCAATCGTGAACCTGGTAGTAGAGTAGCTAGCCTTCCACCCCTTTTAGGGTATTAGAATCCCCGGTTATACTTTACTCCCCTAGGAGACTGGACCGGTAGGTGAATATACCGGGCTCAAGCTGTCACAAGATCTTTGAGAGCTAGCTAAAAGGTCCTTGCCTTGAGCCTTGGTGACAGAGGCAATGCCCAGCCGCGTCTCGGAACTCCCTGGAACAGCTGTGTCAGAGCTCCTGGATGCACCGCCAGGGTTGAGGAAGCAAGCATGCGAGTTCAAGGTTGGCTTGGTTGAAACCCCCGAGCCTCCCACTGGCCGCCCAGCAGCACATTCGGAAGCCGACAGTATCAGCACGGCCTCCGGAGGTGAAGATGTCTTGGATCATGACTTGGCTGGCGACAACCACGTTGACCATAACTGGCATGGCTACAGCACGGAGGGCATTCCGCAGCAGCCCTCTGCCGATCCAAATGCGAACTGCTGGCAAAGGATGACGGTGCCTTTGAGCGAGCATTTTGTTGGCCTTCTCTCCTCGCGCAGGGGGAAGCAACGCTTGTGGATGCTGCGAAAGGAAAGCGGAGCCCATGCTCAATTCGACCTTCACTGGCGGGCTATGCACCTCTGCGGCACACATCAGGCCATCTTGAACGCAATGGCTTTGATGGAGGTGATGGAAGGCTTCACCGTGAAGTTGCCCATGCCGCTGTGGACAGAACTCCTTCGTTGCAGAAACCTCGATGTCCACGAAGCTCCGCTGTCTTTGGAGCGAGTTCAGGACATTCTAGGGCGCCGGATTCACGTCGAGCGCGAGAGCTTCGAGCTACGCGTCTTCGCCCCGCTGGCCGCGAGAGCAGCAACTTAGTAGAAGAGTAGACAACCTTTACTGTATCCTATTTGGGGTTACGACATTCCCAAAGGTTAACCTTCAGTTCGCTTAGGATCCTGGACAAGTAAGGCAACCATCGGGAAGGTAAAGATGCTCGCTGCTCTTTGTACCAAGCAGACGGTTGAGCTGCCGGCCAACTGCGACTGGAACATCATCAAGGAGGGCAGGGTTGCTTCAAACTTGTCTGCTATGCCTGGCGTAAATGGTACATGACTAAGCAAGGGCATCCAAACTTCGAAGCGTGTAAGCTGGGGCAGTTCGGCCGTGTCAAACGACTGAAGTTTCATGTTGCAGTTGCAGTGTTAGTTCAACTACTGCGAGCTCCCCAAGCAGTAATCTAGGTATCGCCATCGCAAGCTAGAGCCAATCGGTTTTCTTTGGTCTTCCCACGCCCTGATGTTTCAACAGTACTGTTGTTCTTGCCTTTCGCATGGCTCAACCCGTCTATCCACCCCCTCTCGACAGGAATCCTGATGTTTATTTAATCTAAACTTCCAAGTTTAGAGCTTAGACGTTTTGCCGCGCCCGAGCCTGTCAAGGAGCTGCAGGCGTCTGAGAAAGTCACCATGAAGTTGGAGGGGAGCAGGGTGGAGTTGATAGGCGTCGTGTCTACCGTGCAGGAAGCTGCAGAGGCTCTGAAAAGCGGAGTTCGTTCTGAAGGGCCCAGGCCAATATTTCTCAGGGCACCCCCTGGTCTGACGCACCCTGGGGAAACCCAGGGCTGGCTTTCCGTTTAAGGCCTTGTGTTGAGAGCTTTCTGAGGTTTCTGTGTCCAGACCTTAAGTAATTCAAACCTTATATAAGCCCAAAAGTCTACAGAGGATCTTATGTGCTACTGCAGCCGTGACAAAAGTACAGAGCCATGCTTCTGCCGACCTGCCAATGTGGGGGCGTGTACGGCATCCGTTGATATGCGTGAAAGATTTCTCGTGTGCGGTCTTGGTTATGCATTTGCCAATGTACCAAAAACACATGATGCAGAACAAAATGTATCCTGCAGCTTTGCGCTGACACGGATGCCTACATTGAAGAGACACAGGCCGCAATCACTTGTCTTGCGACAGCAAGTTGGCAGTTCAATGCGGGCATTTGTACACTACACATTCCCGCTTTGAATTAAACTCTGTCAATCGTCTAGATTCCAGTTCTTATTGGCATATCAGCGGCATATCGTCAGATAGACCCCAGCAATGTCATGTCTGTCGTTTTTATTCAGCCCTCCTTCATGAGGCCTTCACTATAATCATCTGTAGAAGCCACAACTGCTCAGCTCTACATTCGGCATCTTACACACTCTACACCCTACATGATGGTTCGGAACCTTAAACCTTAATCTCACAACTGTCTGCATCACCGATTTCGGACCCGATGTCCCATGTGCCCACGGGCCGGACTCTCATCTGCGGACATCAGGACGACGGGGGAGGATCTATCCTTACTGAAAGACTTTAGGGCTTTCAGCCCTAAGGGTCCATGTGCCCAAATAGTATATACTTTGGGCCCAAAGTACCCAAATAGGGGCCGCTTTAAGGGGAAAGTATAGACTATTTGGGTACATGGACCCTTCGGGCGGGTTTTGGAATTTTGGATGTCAGCTTCAGGGTGTTTGACTCAGGATTGGGGACGACTGTTATCCTGAACCTGCGGCCTTTGCATGGATTCTTGAAATTTTGGCTCGGTGGCCAGCGGTGTTATCCGCGGCCAGTCGATAATGCGAGACTTTCGCAAAAAAAACACACTGTAATAATTTGCGAGTGCAATGCAATTTTTACACAAACCTTCCTGCGTGGGGAAGGTTTGCGAATCTTCTGGCCTTCCCTCTTGAGGGAAGGTCTCGAGACTTGTAAGATCACAGTACCTTAACCTACCATACCTCACTTTTTTGTAGGTTCTTACTATAAACCCTAAAATGGGATTTCTAGGGACCCTACAAATAAGTAGGTTCTGGTAGGTTAAGGTATGATCACAGCTGCCTGAAGCTCGCAGCTTCCTGCGTTGCCCAGGCTGCCCCGACGGCGCGAGAGCATTGAAAACATGAGCACCACCCTGCCGACATCATTGAGACTATCAAGATCTCGAGTTTTGATCTGAAAGGGTTCAATGGTGCAGGTATTGCCATATGATCTTTAACCTGTTTCTTGAGATGTGATGTATGTGTATGTTTGTTCTTTGATGCGTGCATGCGTATGCATGCATGCGTAGTAAACCAGCATGATTATTATGCATGGCGTTTGTAGGTTGTGTGGCTGCCTTCCTTCTCAATACTGTAGATGTGAATGCGGATGTGTGGGATATGTCATACGGATAGATTCCCTTATGTTCAGGGCTAGCTCCCGTTGCTGTCATTCTGTTTCCTGTGCAACTATCTCAAAACTCCCGCAGCCTAAAATACGCTTATAGAAGCCTTAAGTGGACCCCTGCAGGGTGCCTTTAAGGGGCTCCTTCACGGGGTTCTTTAGGGATTCCTTTAAGGGCTTCTTTCAGGGCTCCTTGAAGGGAACCCTAAACCCTAAACCCAAAACCCTAAACCCTAAACCCAAAACACTGAACCCTAAACCCTAAACCCTAAACCCTAAACGCTAAACCCTAAACCCTAAACCCTAAACCCCCAAACCCGGAAGCCTAAACCCTAAACCCTAAACCCTAAACCCCTAAACCCCCAAACCCGGAAGCCTGGTATGATTGGGTCAGGATTCCAGCTCTCGTTTCCGCTATCGCCATCTGCCTGCCCGTGGTCTTCGCCACTGAAGCGCTGCAGGGCAGTGAGGAAGAGGCGATTCGTTGGTGGGGGTTCTCCAATTTACGGGGGCTCCTTAGATGGGGCTTAGAGCAGGTTTTGCTTGAAATTCAGGGGGAAATCTGGGGGGTTTCGACAACAGGAGTTCGACATGTGTCTACAAAGCAAGATGAGATATAGACGCCAATACGCACGCGTACATTTTACTGATGAGTTTGTGTACGTAGTTTGTGTAGGTACATGTGTAATTCTGTATGGATTGTTGAGTGTGTTTGTATGCATGTAAGTATGTGTGCATGCAATGGCATGCAAACCAGGTACCCAGCCAGCCAGCCAGCCAGCCAGCCAGCCGCCCATTCGGGAATCAATCTGGCTATGTCTTTTCGCTTTTATCGATCGATCTGTTTATCTTTGTATCTAGTTTAATGTAATCTAAACTCGTGAATCTAGTCTAAATCTAAATGTAAGCTTATCCAAACTAAATGGTAAATGAAATCCAGTCTAATCTAGTCTTGTCTGTCTGTCTGTCTGTCTGTGGTTTGGGGCGTCGGGTAGTTCGGGTCGGGGCATCGGCTGAAGTATCATGTCGGCTATGTGTTTCAGCAGATGAATGTGATCTCATTCCTGTGGTGAAACTCTACACATGGAGAACCGAATCGATTGTCGATTTCGTATGGTGTTTGGCTGTTGACAGTGGCAGTCGCGAGTCACTGAGTCTGTCGGACCACTATCAGGGTCGTTGCTTGGCTGTGTCCGGCTGTGACTGCTGAATGCTGAACGCTCAAAGCCAGCCGTGAACCCTTAGCCCCAACCCCTGCAATTTCCTCTCCAAAGTATCTTAAGCTTTATCCCTCGGTCTTCCAAAACCCGAAAGCCGAAACCAACCCTAAAACCCGCCCAACGGGAAAACATCAACTAAATCATGCCGTTATAAAGAAGTACGGGATACACCAGGAAAGAGCCTAAACCCCTAAACCCTAAAAAAGTTAAAGCCCTAAGCTTTAAAAAGTTAAACCCCTAAACCCTAAAAAAGTTAAACCCCTAAATCTTAAAAAAGTTACACCCCTCAGCCTTAGAAAGTTAAACCCCTAACCCGAAACAAAATCAACCCCTAAACCCTAAAAAAGCTAAGCCCCTAAACCCTAAACCTAAACCCTAAAAAACCTAAACCCCTAAACCCTAAAAAAGTTAAGCCCCTAAACCCAAAAAAACTAAACCCTTAAACCCTAAAAATTAAAAGTTAAACCCCTAAACCCTAAAAAGTGAAGCCCCTGAACCCTAAAAAAACCTAAACCCCTAAACCCTAAAAGGCCTTCGAAGGAGCTCTTCAAGACCTGAAGCTCCTCTTCTCCTTCGCCGTGGGCAGCTCGACCTTCCGAGATTTTGGGTGTTTGGGAAGTAAGGTTTATAGGGATTTCGGTATCTTAGGACTCCAGGCTTTGGGATTTGGTGTTTACCCATAGGCTCTAAAGTAGTTCCTTTTTGGGGTTNNCCCCCCCCCCCCCCCCCCCCCATCTCCCGAAACACGCCAACAACATTGAATTCACGGCCTTTCGACGAAAACCGTGAACTTGATGTAAACTTTGAACCCTGCACACCCTTCTTGGAACCGTACTTCAACCTCGAACCATAAACCAGGAATCCTTACAGAATCCGTAGGCGAACGCTTAAAGGAACCGTGGAAACCTTTGACAGAGGCATCCTCTTCGTTCGCTCGATGGAGTTGGCAGTCGACTGTGAGGACGTCGTCCATAGGGCTGTGGTAGGGTTTTTGTAGGGAGGGTGTAGGGGTTTGTGGTGTAGGGTTGGTAGTGTTCGGGATGTTTATCAGATGTTTGTGCAGGTCTTTGGGAAGACGGTTTGGTTTTGCAGGCAATGTGGAAGCGTTCCTTTAAGTTTCAATTCGGGACGAGAAAGGGGCCTTGACAATTCAATAGGGCTTTTTGGATAGAGTATAATACCGGGGCCTCAATAATTACCTATATTATTTTAGGGGCTAATGTACCCCAAAACGCTACTCTAATTAGTAAGCCCCTACATTAGTCATATAGCGGCCTTTTAGGGCAGATTGTCCGATTCCTTCAGACTCTAGATTACGATGGGTTTGTGAGGTAAGGCTTAAGAGGTCTTGGTCTTGAGGATTTCGGATTTAGGGCTTGGGCACCGGATTCAAAATCGGACTCTTTTTCATTTCAAGGGCTCCCAGTACACCCTTTTTCTCGTTTGGCGTCTTGGGTTCCTTATGACTATCCAGTTCCGAAGAGGCTACTCCGCAAGCTAGCCTGGATTCTTTGACAAGAGGATTCAAGATCTTGTTGGGAGCCCTGAACCCTAAATCGCAAGGTAAGGAAGAGGTTTTAGCACCTGGAGAATATGCTGTGGTAGCCTACCGCCAAGTCCTTTTCCAAATATTAAGGACCGCACTGTATGTCAGCGACGTCACTATTCAAAAAGCCTTCCAGGGCCCCAGAACACCCTATGAACCTTACAGACCCGTACGCTAATCCATGAAGGCCCTACTGCTCCCCCAAACCCTTAGGGCCCTTTTTATAAGGGTGCCGTACTTTATTCGGGCCTAAAAGGGACCCTAGTTTAGATAATTAGTTAGGGAGCTCCCTTGTAACTCTTGACCTCAGCCTCTGATTGACTGATTTCAAAGCCTTTCAAGCCACTATGTAGGGGCTACCTTAAGAACCCCAAACCCACTTTTTTGTAGGTTCTTATTATAAACCCTAATATGGGATTTATAGGGACCCTACAAAAAAGTAGGTTTGGGGTTCTTAAGGTAGGGTTTAGCCTGCCGGGAACGATCAGAGGAGGGGCGCGATGGCCAGCGGAGCAAGCGCCTTGAACTCTATCCTTTCCTCACCTGATCGCGCGCTGCATATGAGTTAGGTTTCCAAAAGCCGGGTACCCTAAACCCTAAACCTTAAACGATGTAGAGGGTTCTACAGGAATTGCAGTATAGGGTTTGTCAAATCTTTGAGGTTTCATACTTGG